GAATCATTCACCCCTCAGCTACTTGGCTCCCATCTCCTAACAGCAATTATAGGGCCCAGCCTCAGAGCTGAATCCAGACTATTATCATCACTTTATTACTGATTTAATTAATTGCTCACACAGTGAGAGCTAACTACATGCCACGCAGTATCTCACCTTGTTTCTGCACCAGTGAAGGAAATATTTGTATTATCCCCATTTTACAGATGAAGATATCGAGGCTCAGAGAGTTTAAGTAACTTGCTCAAGGTTTCTTAGCTTATAATCTGCAGAACTGAGATTCAACTTCAGGCTTTCTGATCCAGAGTTGGCTTTCTTTACTAGCCTGTATTGGCTTTCATTGGAGTATTATATAACTGGGAGAATTTGATTGGCCCATGGGCATTTTTCATAAAATTTGCAACCACATTATAGAGTTTTCTTCCTGGTCTTACTCCACAGTCAAGTACGCGATAACGTATAATACTCCGTGTGCCTATCTTGGAAGAGCAGATGGATCCTGTGTGGTGATTTAAAGAAGTGAAAATAGAAAAGCCCTCATAAGGGACCCTGCGTTTTGCAATGAAATTGTTTATGCGTTAACATTACGCTGCACTCTGCCGTATTTGCTGATTGGCACAACCACCACCATTTAAAGTGATTTCCTACTCATGACAATAATGAGTGGGATTAGCCCGGTTCAATGGGTGCATGCCTTCCTCAGGGCTCACAAAAGCCTTCTCCAGCGATCCAGGCTTTCCTGGCTATGAGAGCTTAGCTAGCAAGGCTGCTGTATTCCACAGTGCTAAACAGCGGTCCTCGGTTCGAAATGAAGGCAATCAGGGAAAAGATAAAGGGTTTCTAGCTCCCAAACCATCCAACCCAGAAAAATATGGAGCGAAGAATGAAAGCCCTGGCACCAAGTCACTTCCTCCCTGGAGAAACCCACCCTCTTTGCGTGCCCCTCCAAACTTTCAGATAAACCAACGGCAAGAAAGAATTTGACTATAATAAAACACAGCCAACTTGCTGACTGTAATTAGTGTGAAGCTTTCTTTAGTGATTCAGAAGATCCTTCAGGTTTATTCTGTTAAGGGTTTCAGTTGTCACAGTGCAGAATGTGGGGATTTCTGTGTACTTGGGTGCCTCATAGAGACAGGCATGTGGGAAGCTTGCGTATAATCTCTTAGCCCCCAGGAGGGTTTGTGTTGCTCAGACCACAGCTGATAACCCTCCTCCCGGAACAGAGATGTCAAAGGTACCTAATCTTACGAACACAAGACTTTAGGAACTACAGTAAAAACGTAGATTTGTAATTGAGAAGATTTGGGGGACTACATTATGTTCTATGGCATTAATATAGGGCTGCTTTTACTGTCTGAAATTTGCATAACTATATACTTTATATATGTAATTTTTGAATATATATCTATAGATAAATTTTATATATATATATATATATGTTTTAAAGCAAGAGTGACTTCCATTTATAGGTCAGTTGGAAACAGTCTTCTTTGTTTTGGAAAAAATAATCATGAGTAAGGAGGGTACCTCATGGCCTGGGAGAGGGCATAATAGGTAGGACTTTATTTTCTTGAGTTTGATAAAGCCATCTCTCTAAATTCCTCTTGGGGAGTAGAGATCTGGGTACATAAAGAACACAGAAACTTTCTGGAAGAGAAGGGATTGAGAAAACCCCAACCTCAAGATTTCATCCCAAGATTCCATGGGCAGCCCCTTCTGGAAGACAACAGGACTCTTTGGAAACTAATCCAGGAAGGTAAAAGGTTGAAGGATGCTTCTCCAAAAACAAAAACAAAAAAACACACCAGTGGCCAACAAGTACTTGAAAAGATGCTCAATATCATAACCATTAAGGAAATGGAAATAAAAACCACAATGAGATACCACTTTACATCCATTAGGATGGCTATAATAATAATTTTAAAAATGGAAAATACTAATATTGGCATGGATGTGAAGAAATTAGAACCCTCATACATTGCTGTTAGAAATATAAAATGATGCAGCCACCGTGAAAAGCAATTAGTTGTTTCTCAGTAAGTTAATTCTAAAATTAACATATGACCTAGTAATTCACTCCTAGATATATACTCAAAAAAACTGAAATTAGGTGTTCAAACAAAAACTTGTACGTAAATATTGATAGCAGGTCTATTCACAGTAGTGAAAAGGTAGAAACAACTCCAGTGTCCATTAGGGGGAGAATGGGTAAACAAAGTGTGCGTGGCCATATGATGGAATATTCCTCAGGAAAGAAGGGCTGATGCGTGCTCCCATGTGGATGAAACTTGCAAGTATTGCATGCTCAATGCACGAATGCAGACACAAAAGGCCACACATTAGATGATTCCATTTATAGGAAAGGTCCTGGACAGGCAGGTCCATAGACTGTGGCTCTGAGGACTAAGACTGGCCTATGGAGACTAAAGCAGATTAGTGGAGGGGGAGTGACCGGTGACTGCCTAATGCGTGTGGGGTTTCCTTGGGGAGATGAAAGTCTTCTGGAACCAGATAGTGGTGACAGTTCACAGCACTGTGAATGTACTAATGCCACTGAACTGTGCACTTTATAATAGTTAAAATGGTAAATTTTTTTCTCTGTATTTTTTCAAAATTTAAAAAAATTGGGGTTACTGGTGACTAATGAAAATCTAGTGGGAGAGGGGAACAGGCTCCCAAAGTCAAATTACTGAGAAAAGGGATAGGTAGACACTCTATTGGTGGGGTTCTGGGCTGTGAGATGGTTGACAGTGAAACCAGACTCAATCCAGCCCTTTTAGGAATGTGTTTGCGTCCTAGAGTTCGGATGTGTGGGTGACTCTAAAAAGTTAAAACTCAATTGCAGTGATCACAGTAGGAAGCCTGGATCCAGTGACCAGAGTAGGAAGTCACAGGACCCAGTGGCGTTCCAGAAAAGCAGGAGGTTGGGCCCTGACTTTGTAACCGCACCATGTGCAGCAGAGCCGGGGAGGAGCTGCCCCTCTGGACAAGCATTGCTCTCCTGTGTGCCCTCTGTGGGCGCTGCTTCACCCATTCCCATAAAATGCTGGGTCCCCGGATATGTGAGATCTCCATTTCTGCTCCAGCACATTGTCCATCCCTCCAGCAGCTGAGACAGCAGCTCCTGGACCTCAGATCAGCAGGCCCGAGCTGTGGCTTCCTGAGGAGAGAAGGCCCCTAGTTGGGCACTAGGGTCCCAGACAGACGGGAGAGGGCCACTGCCTCAGAAAGGGACTGTGCAGCGCACGATCGCCTCAGTTCCACATACTGATTCCAGTATGGGCAACTCTCCCCCAGAAGAGCTACTGGGGAAGCTACCACCTCGTTTAAAATGAAAGCGGCCATAAAACAGGGAACACCCCAAAGGGGCTATGTTTATAGTTAATGTAAAGAGCTGAGTCAGGAAACCATCATCATGGGGATGTATTTCACAAGCATTCTTTGGAACTTTAACTTATCTTTCAAAATACAGTTGACACACATCCACATGTAGAAATCACTCGCTTTTAGTCTGGAACCCGCCTCATGAGGAGCCGGCGCAGTGGAAGGATGAAGCAGGAAGGGCCGGGCGTGAGTGGCTGTGGTGGTTTGTCCGTCTACTGCTTTCTCACCTTGGAGTTCTGGATGGCCCAGGGCTGGCCACCCCTCTGCGCCTTTGCACAGGCTGGTGTCTCCCCCTGGAAACCATTGCACCCCACCCCCTTCTCCCCACAGCTGAGTCTAGTCCATGCTTCAAAACTCAGCCCAGAGGCCGCCTCCTTAATGAAATGTTTCCTGACCACTGGGCTGAGTTCAGTGCCCACTTGTGTTCACTTCTCCCCAGCGATAGCCTTGTTCTTACCACACCTTACTGATCGCACTCCCGTAGACCATGTGTCTCTTACTAGACTCCCCCAAGGGCAGCTGAAACAGCCTGCCTGCTTTTGAATCCCAGCTCCATCATGTCCTAGCTCTGTGACTCAGCAAGCTGTTTAAACTCAGTTTCCTCATCTGTAGAATGGGGTTAATCATTCCTGCCTTATTGGGTTGTTTTGATGATTAAACTTTCTAAAACACTTAATGCCTGGGATATAGGTGCTCAATAAATATGAGCTATAGTAATAATAAAAATAATAATTACAATTACCATTAATTATCTCTCTATTCCCAATGTCTAGCACAGACCCCACTAGGCAATAGGCGCTCAGTGCATTGGTGTTAAACAGAACTGTGGTTGACACATGAACTTGATCAACCTCGAACTCTGCTATCCAGCACTACAAGTGGCTATTGAGCACTTAAAATGTGTCTAGTCCAAGTTGAAATGTGCTATAAGTACAAATACACACCAGATGTTGAAGACTTAGTGTGGAAAACTGAAAGTGGAACCAAGTAATGTTTTTATAATGAGTACATGTTGAAATGATATTTTGGATATTTTAGGTTAAATAAAATACATTCTTAAAAATAATGTCAGCAGCTTGATTTTACTTTTTAAAATGAGACTGTGCCCTAGCCGGTTTGGCTCAGTGGACAGAGCGTTGGCCTGCAGACTGAGGGGTCCTGGGTTCAATTCCTGCCAAGGGTGCGTACCTCAGTTGTAGGGTTGGGTGGGGTGCGAGCGGGAGAAAACCAATCAATGTTTCTCTTTCACACTGATGTTTCTGTCTCTCTGAAAAGCAATGGAAAAAATATCCTCAGGTAAGGATTAAAAATAAGTAAATAAAAATAAATAAATAAAATGAGACAGCAAGGAAATTTAAAATGACACATGCGGCTACATTATGTTTCTGTTGGACAGCATGGGTTTAGAATGTTTCCCACCTCCCATTAGAATTGCAAATCTTCACACAACCTCATTTATGCTCAAATTTTACATAAGTTTTAGGAATAGAGAGAGTTCACTTAGAATCAGAAGCCTATTAGGTCGATTTGTGAGGGGTTTTCTATGCAGGGCTAACAAGCTAAGGTATAAAAACGTGGAAGGGGAACTAAAGCTTTGTGGGGGGATTTTTCAGGTTCGCTGTGATCCTGAGATTCAAGAATTGCGCCAGTGGCAGAAGAAACTGCGTGAGAGCAAGCACATTCGCGAGCGGGTCAAAATTTTCTGGGCCAAACAAGAACAGAAAGGTTGGTTGCTTAATTTGATTCAGAGCCTCATTTCCAGAGATTCTGACTCGGTGTTTCAGGGATGGGCCCCTGGCATCTGTGCTAATGCTGAGGCTCCCCGGATGCAGTGGGCAGCCAGAGCGGAGACTGAGGAGGTGCTGGAGCCCCAGAGGTTTTGTGCTCTTTAAAATGTGGGGGCCTCAGGCCTGCGTGTCCTGAGCTCTGGGCAGCAAGAGAAGTCCGTTTGTGCATGATTGTACATTTGTGACTGTTTATTTGGCTATTTGTCTTCATCGCTAGTGTGTAAGCTCCATGAGGACAGAGACCTTTTTCTAGCTCAGAGTGAGCGCGAAATAACTGTTGGTTGACTGAGTGAATGAATGAATGAATGAATGAATGAATGAATGAATGAACAGGGCTTTGAGGCTTACCTGAGCCAGCCTGCAGGCGGCCTGGCGCAGGCCT